TATAATTTTATTTATTATTTAAAATAATTTTAAAAAATATAAAATAATTATAAAAATACAAAAAAAAAACAAAAGAAAAAAGAAATGATAATTAATATTGATCAATATAATTATATTTGTTTTTTATAAAACTACATTTATTTGTAATTATTTATTTGTTTATTATTCAATTATTGGTTTTGTTTTTATTATAAATATTATTTACATTATTATAATACAAAAATGGTATTTTTATTTTTAATAATCATTATTATAATTCTATTCTTTAATATTTTATTTCAAAATATTTTTTTACAAATAAAATAATTTTTATAAATTATAGAATATTTTTTAAAATCACACACAAGGTTATTGTTTTATTAAAAATGGAGGTTATTAATTAATTAATTAATTAATTAATTAATAAATTAATTGATTAATTAATTTGATAAATTAATTAAAATAATTACGTACCTTTATTTATAAATAGATTTATAAGATTTTATAAAAATATTATTATTATTAGTGATTTATTTTATTATGATTTAGTTTTTTATATATTTAAATTGAGCTACTATAAACAAATACCAACACTAAACAAAACAAAAATGAAGAAAAGAGAGTTATTTATTTTATACAATATATTTTAAAATTAATTGGAATATTATTATTATAACAAATTGGTTTTTTTTTTATATTCTATAATTTTTTTATTTTATTTTACTATTGACAACAACAAAAACATAAGAATATGATATATAAATATTATTGAGTGAGTTTTTTTTAAGATATATTAAATGGTCTAAAATAAAAAAATAAAAAATAAAAATAAAAATACACAAAGATCTAATAAATAGAAAAAGACTCTAAAATATTTTTATATAAAAAAATAAATAAAAAAAATAAAAAAAAAGTGATAGAGTAATAGCTATTTTTATTTTATTTTTAAAAATAATTGCAACTATTAATATTTTACAAAAAAAAAAGAAAAAAAAAATAATAAAAAAAATTATTTATACAAATTTCAATAAATAAAAAACAAATAAAATGAAATAAAATAAAACAAAACAATTTAAAATAAATTATTTATTTAAAAAAATAAAATAAAATAAAATAAAAATAAAAATAATAAGATAATTTGAAATAAATGAAATAAATAAAAAAATAATTATGACTTTTATATTTTTATTGTACAGGATTTATATATAACACAAATATTATTTTTAATTTTTTACAAAGTTAACAAACATCTACAATCATATGAGATTTATAACAAAAAAAAAAAATATAAAAATAAAAAAAAAAAATAAATCCAAAATTAAAAATGAAGAAAAAAGAAAAAAGAAAAAATTTTAAGGGTATGAAATAATTATATAATGTGTTATTGTATTTTATTTACTATGTATTAAAAACAATTATTTCCATTGTTTAAATTTGTTTTTGGTTTTTGGTTTTTGGTTTTTTTTTGCTATATTTTAATTTTATTAATGGTGTGGGGAATATTTTATTTTTAAAATAATAATTATTAAATTAATTAAATAATAATAGTTTTGGCTAAATGTAAAAGTAGGACCCACATTAGAACTTACTTCGTTGGTTGTATGTTTTTGTTTTTGTTTTTTTGTTTTTTTGTTTTTTATTTTTTATTTTGTTTTGTGTTTTTGTTCTTTTTAGATATCTTTTATTAATCTATTAGAAGGGTTGGATATGGTGTATGATTTGGGTGTTTAATGGACAATGATAAAAATGTGTTGTGTGTGCATTAAACAATGTTTTTAAATACCCACACATAAATGTTCTATATTCTATAGCATTTAAAAAAGATGGTCATTTTTATGTGTGTGAGTGGATGTGTGGTGGTGTATTGGTGGTGAATGTGGAATGAAAATTCTTGTTGTGGAAGGTTATGTGTGTGGTGGATATAATGATTGAAATTTCAATACCACAATATTAAAATATTTTGATTAATTGTTATTAGATAAAACAAAATGTTTTTCCACCATTACTAATACTACTATTTTATTACCTTTATTTCTACAGAAACACAAAATATTGTGTTGAATTGTTGACCCACAAAAAAAATAAAAATGAAATGAAAAAAAAGAGAGGGATTATAAAAAAAAAATAAAATAAAAATAAAATAAAAATAAAAAAAGATTTGGTGTGTGGTGACAAAGATAATTTTGTGGTATGGGTTTTAGTTTGTTGTTTATAATTTCAAGTTTTGGGAATTATTATAACATCATTTATATGATATTTAATTAAAAATGAATAAAAAAAGGTAAAAAATTATTACTTTTTAAAAGAAAAATAAAGAACTATGCAGGAGGAAAAGTGTCTGTGATAAAAAGTGATAGCTAAGTGAGTGTTTATAGGTTGTGATAGAATTTCCATGAGCTTTACAATAAATAATTTATGTATAGGTATATTTTATTTATATAGTTTGTGTTTAGATTGCTGATTTAAAATCCACCTAATTTCTCCACTGTGTGTGTATGTATGTGTTGTGTGTGTCTGTAGTTTTTTATGAATATTCATAATTTTTATTTTAAATTGTATGGTTTTTTTTTTTTTTTTTTTAGATTTAAAAAAATAAAAATAAAATTTTTGATTGTGCGTGTGAGTGTGGGTGATTATATGGGTGTGGTGTTTATTTAATCTTCATACCTTTTTGTTTTTTTTGTATAAAACAAAAGAAAAAAAAATTGGGTGATGTATTGTATTTTTATTATTATTATTATTATTATTCCTATTACTAAGATCTAAAATTAAAAAAAATTTTAAAAAAAAAAAATTTTCAAAAAAAATTTTAAAAAATTTTTTTATTTTTTAAAAAATTTTATTTTTTTGTTGGGTTTGTTTATTTAAAAAGATCAAACCTTTACAAAATGAACACTCACAATACTAAACTATAAACACAAACAAACAATAACTATACTTGAAAAAGTTTGCCAATAATTTATTTTTACTTTTTGATGGAAACGCAGAAAGTTGATTTAAAAATTTTAAAGTCTTTTCTTAATAGATAATAATTGATTAAATCTTTTAACAAACACACACAATCACACAAATTAAAAATATAAACAAAAACAATGAAACAATATAAAATTGGACAAATCCACTAAAAAAATTAACTGATTATTATTTTATTATTTATGATTGTTATTATATATAATATAATGATGATTTGATTACCAAAATTTAATATACTACTTTTTAGAAAAATTAAAAAAAAATTGTTTATTTATATCTTTTTCTTTTAAAAAATTTAAAAAAAATTAATTTTTTAAAAATAGTTTTTAAAATATTTTTTTTTTTTTTGATTTGGTTAGGTTCAATCTACATATACATAATATTTTCTCCAAAGAACCACAATCACAATATATATATATTTCTACTAAAATACATATATAAAGAATTAAAAAAAAAAAAAAAAAAAAAAAATTTTATCAAATAATGATTTCCTATTTCCTTCTTTTTTATTGATATATCTTAAATATTGTTTTTTTATATAAATAAAAATAAAAAAAATAAAAAAAAATAAAATTAAAAAAAAAAAAAAAAAAAAAAAAGAAAAACTATTTAAATTTAAAAAAAATAAAGATATTATAAAATTTTTAATAAAAAAAAAGAAAAAAAAATTTTAAATAAAAAAAAATAAATATAAAAAAAAAAAAAAATAAAAAAAATAAAAAAGAGAAAAAAGTGATATTAATATCTAATCACGCCCAATACAATCAACACAATCAAAAAAAAAAAAAAAAAAAATGGTTAAATTCTTTTTTTTTTTTTTTAAAACTTTTTTTAATAATAATTAAATACCCTGCAAAGATTATAATAGGAATAAAGTGATTGGTTTAAACTATTTAGGCTGCAACATATGAAAAAAAAAAAACATCAATTTGGGTTATTGTGTGAGAGTTTGAATTCAACAAATTTTTTTATTAATAATATGCAATAAAAAAATAAAAAGTGAAAAAAAAGTGAGTGATCACACAATCACAAAAAAATCATATAAATTATTATTTTAATTTAAAAAAAAAAAAAAAAAAATCAGATATTTTTTGTGTATAACGAAAAATTTATTAACTATTTTTTAAATTGTATTGTGCTTCTCTTTTATAATAATTATGGCCATATAATATTTTTGTATGGTTGTTGGTGAATTTCATGTGTAAAAATAATCTCAAGGCAAAAAGAGATTAACTTTGAGCACCAAGTCAGTGCATCCACGTGAAAGCATGCTAATTATAGAGCACCTTTCCTCTTATTTAAAGATAAATCTTTTTTCTTTTTATAATTTGTGCTTCTTAAATTAAGATTATTTTTATTAATAATAAACTTAAATTTAATAAAAAACAATGCTATTTTTTTTTTTTTTACTTTATTTTTATTTAAATTTTAAATTAAAATTTTTTTTTCTCAATAAAATAAGTAAATAATCAAAGAAATATTAAAAATAAAATATAAAAAAATAATATCAATTGATATTATTTTGATTTTTAACCTAAAATAATTAAATAATAATAATAGTAATAATAATAATAGTAATAATAATAATAATAATAATAATAATAATAATAATAATAATAATAATAATAATAATAATAATAATAATAATAATAATAATATTATAAAATTTGAAAGCTACACACAACTTTTTTCTTTTTATTATAATTATTTATATTTGCAGGTTATTTTGAAAGAGGTTTTTTTTTTCGTATTTTTAAAATTTTTTTTTCTTCCAACTCAATATGGATGCCAAAGATTTAAAAATTATTATCATAAAAAAAAAAAAAAAAAAAAAAAAAAAAAAAAAAAAAAAATCAATTTTTTTTTTATGATAATCAAAAAAAATGGTTGATGTGAAATTTATAAATTTCGTATAAATGATGATGTTATTAAATTAATTTATTTTTATTTTACACAAGAATTTTTTTATTTTTTTTTTTTTTCAAAAAAAAAAATTATAATTGAATTTTTACTGAATATATTGAAGTGGCAGATAATTGTGAGTTTATTTAATAATTTCTATTTAAACCATATCTAAATTCTTGAATATAGTCTGATTGAGCAATTGGAGCATGAATAAATTGTTCTGGGACATTGAAAGAGTTTACGAGATCTAAACCAATTGGTAACATTTCAGCACATAAAATGTTGATTGAATCTTGAACTTTTTGGGCAGTTTGGGTGGCAATACCATCGTGACAAAGGAAGTAACCAAGGTCTTCATTGACTTTCCAACTGAAGAAAAGATTTCTGCAGAGTTCTAAAACTGGCTTAGTTGATGATGGAGCATTTTTAATACCTGCTTGGAATTCTTCTAATGTGATACGATCAACAAAGGCTTTACCGAGTTGGGTAACAACATCTAAACAAGTATTCCAACCTTGTTCTAATGAACGACCTTGATCGAGTTGGGCCATGATTCTGCTTGAAAGAGTTTGAACGAGGTTACTTTCTCTCCATTTGAGTGATTGAATTTGGAAGTCATAGCTGTGAATGTTTGAATCGTGATTGGCACTGGTTAAGGTGTAACGACCCTTTTGGAGTTCAACTAAAAGATTACGTGAAACTTGTTGGAGGAGTACGTGGTTGTCACCTTCGTAGGTCATATCAATTTCGAGATCAGATTTGAAAAGGGCGATTTGATTGAATGATGAGAAACCTTGACCACCACAGCATTCACGACATAATTGAAGAATGTTAGTTTTCATCCATGAAACAACGGCTTTAAGACCTGATGACCAGATGTGAACATCTTTAACATTTTGTGAGTTTTTATTTGGTTCGCAATAGAGTCTCTTTAATTTTTCTACTGAAAAGGTGAAAGCAACAGATGAGGCAATCATTGGGAAGAGTCTACGTTGATGGGTAAGGTATTCAATGATACGAATTTCATTACCTTTTGAACCAAATTGTCTTCTAGAGTAGGCATAACGAGTAGCAATCATAAGAGCCATTTTTGAAACATTAAGAGCTGATGTACTGATTAATACTCTACCACCTACTAATGGAGCAACCATAGCACCAAATCTTTTACCTTTGCTTTGGATTGATGAAACATAGGTACCATCCTTTTGAACATCACCAAATTTATTTAATAAATTATCTCTTGGAATACGTTTATTATCAAACCAAATTCTACCATTATCAACACCTTGTAAACCTAATTTGTGACCATTATCCATAATTCTGACATTTTGGGCAATAGTACCATCTGGATTACGAATTGGTACAACAAATACATGAACACCATAGTGAACATTGTCAATATATAATTGGGCAAATACTGAACAAGCTTGACCATGTACTAAAAAATTATAATAATAATAATAAATTATTATTAATAATATGTTTATGTGTATATAAATTTATATGAACAAATACTTACAAGCAGCATTACCAATCCAGAATTTTTGAGCTGAATCTGATGGAGTGTTAATAATAAACTCTTCAGTGTTTTTGTCATAGGTGGCAGTAGTTTCTACACCTTGGACATTTGAACCATGACCTAATTCAGTCATACCAAAACAACCTGGTAATTTCCATGAATCGATATCTTTAATATATTTGAGATGATGTTTTTCAGTACCTAAATTTAAAACAGCATTACCAAATAATGAAAAGTGTACACCTAATTTAACAGATAATGATGGATCGCAAAGATTTAACATTTCTAAAGATACTAAATATTTCATTGGATCTCTATTGAATTCTGCGAGTGAAATTGCACCAGCTTTGATAACTTTGATGGCTCTTTGAAGAGTAAGCTCTCTCCATTCTTGAACATTCATATTATATTTTGGTGCAAAGATTGGATCTTTTAATAATTCTAAAAGGTTTTTCTTGGCAACTCTAATGTGTTCTGGTGCTGATTCTAAATATTGTGAAAGCTCTTGTTTGTTCCATTTTGGGATTGAACTATTTGATGAAATTGTATTAACTTCTAAATCAGCTGAACAATCTACCATTTCAATACCACCATTATTGGTTGGTTGTAAATGATTGACAATATTCTTTAATCTTTGTTCGTATGATTCCATTTTACTATATGTATATATATAAATTTACAATAAAAAAAAAAAAAAGTTTAATTTTTTTTTGGTATTATTTCTATAAAAATAAATCAAAAAAAAAATAACTAAAATAAATATATATTAGTATATATATTTATAAATCTATTTATGTATTGGTTTATTAGTTATTACTGAATACAATAATTTCGAATGAATTAGTGTGGGTAAAAAAATTAATGAAATTTTGTGTAATTTAATTTTTTATATATAAAAAAAAAAAAATTTTAATTTTTTTTTTTATTTTTAATTTTTTTTATTTATTTTTTTATTTATTTAATTATAAAATTTTAAGATATATGGCAATATAAATATACATATATGTAAAAGAATGTTATTTGAAAACTATTTTATGAAGCCATATTTATATGTCCATATTTTATCCATATTTTATTTGTGCGTAATCGTTTTTTTTTTTTTTTTTTTGATTTAAATAAATAAAAAAATTGTAGTTTTGTTAATACTTTACTTTAAGATGAATATATTAGAATGAGTGTATGTTTTAAAATATGATTAATTCAAATTTGCTAAAAAAAAAAATAAAAAAAATAATTGAAAAAAAAAAAAAAAAAAAATTAAAAATAAAAAAAAATAAAAAAATGTTGCGCATGTCGTTTGGAAATTCCTTTTTATGGGGAGACATGGTGCTATTTTCTGGCTCATTCATTTGAAATTTCGCTGCCAAAAAAATAAAAAAAAGAAATTTTTATTTATTTTAAAAGAAAAAACCCTTCGCTTAGATAATTTATATATTTATGATGATACCAATACAAAAAGATAATAGAAATTAATGAAATATCGAACAAAAATACCAGGTGATAGCAATGATAAAATACTATGCAAAAAAGATAACTGTTATCTTTTCAAAAAAAGATATAAAAAAAAAAAAAAAAATTTTTATAATAATAAATACTAATACTAAATTATTTTTTATTTTTTTTATTTTTATTTTTATTTTTTATACTGACAATAATATTGAGACCATAAAGATAATTCGGAGGTATCAACACGAATTGGTGGTTCGTTGATTGATGTTTGTGCATTATAGTTTTTGTTCAAGTATGGTTGAACATTTTGATTAATATAAGACCAGATACTTGTGGTTTTTGTAGATAAATTTGCAGAGACCCTTTTTTCCTCGCAGTCAAATAAAAAGGTACCAAAACGACAAGAGTAGAGATGATGTAAAATTTCCATTAAATAGATGCCATTAAATTCGAATGATGTTGGGTTTTGCTCCATAATTTGCCAAACACAATCTATAAATTGAAGGAAAATGGGTGAATATTCTTCGCTTTTATAATTTTTACTACCATGACCAATTCTCGATTCAAACTTATGTCCAAATGATAACCATTCTTTTTCTATTAATACTTGAAAACCAATGATTGATCTATAGTATGGATCCAACAAAATCTGTGCCAAAGATGTTAATTGACTGGTACGATCCCACCCATCGGAACAATGGACAACAATTGATGATTTGAAAAATTGAATTAAATCTACAATATCGACAGCTGCATATGTAATAGCTCTAATATTTTCAAGCCAGTCTCTTTTAGCATCTTCAAGGTTGTATTTGTTAACTTCATCGCTGTTATTTGAATTGTTTGTATTATCAACTTCTTGTTGTTGATGTTGTTGATCATTCATAATTGCTTTAAATAGTTTCTTTTGACAAGATCTCATTTTGTGAATGTTTTCGATATCTAAAAATTTTAATACACAGTTGTTATAGGTGTCATTGTTTGTATCTTCATAACCTAAACCCATTACTTGATTAGCTACAGCATTTAATTGTGGTCTTGCGTCCATAATATAAACCTTTTCGGATGCAGGATTGGCTAAACGAATTGATTCGATCATTTTTTCATCATCAAGTGATCTTTTTTTAGAAATACCAACTACTGGTTGACTACAACGTGATATAGTTGCATTTGATGTTGAGCTTTTCCATACTAACGCAGGAATTCTACCCTTGCTTCTAAATGATGTTTCATTAATTAATTCTTGATCACTAATTCTTTTTGGAACAACAATTACACTTGGATATGTTGGTGAATAGTTATAATCTTTATTAAAATGGCTAATTCTCCATTCTTCATTTGGTATACCCAATCTTTCAAATTCTTTAATTGGATTATAAATTTGCCAACCATCACCACCAAGAATTTCTTTTGTAATGTAAAAAAAAAAAAGTTAATAAATAATATAATTAATTATATTATTTAAATAAATAGTTTAATAAATACCTTCGTTATAAAAGCAAAAAAGTTGATTATATTTTTTAAATATTAAAGATTCTAAAATTTCTAATAATCTTGAATTGGCTTTTTGTTGCGATGAACCTGGTAAGTGCATAAATCTAACCTTATTGAAATCTTTACAGTAGAGTTCGAATGCATAATATTTAACTTTATCCAAGGTAAAACCAGTACACTTGACAATTTTTGAGATCATTGTTAATGGAATCGAAAGAGTGGCATTGGTTGAATCTATGGTGGAGGCAAAATAAAATCTATAGTTTGTAATTGTGATACTACCAATTGTACCTGCATTTTGATGAACACGAATAATACTTTGTGAGAAATATAAAATCTCTTCTGAATGTAATAAGTTTAAATTTGAACTTATATTGCTATCTAAAATGGTTTGTTTTCTATTAGGTGTTGCTGTTGTTGTGGTAGTGTTGTTAGAGGTGGTATTGGAGGATGAGGGGCTTTGATCTAACTGTTGATTTGAGGAAATTAAAAATGAAGAAGATGGGGTGGAGTTTTTTGAAGAGTTTGAATCTAAATCAATGAGTTTTGAATCGATATTTAAATCTTTACATGTTGTTTTTGCTAATTCAGATTCTAAAAGTTGAATTTCTTTTTCTGTGGTGTTATTATTATTTGATTGACTATCAATAACTTCATCATCTTTATATTGTTTTTTAACTGATTTTCTATTTAATAGTTTATTATTTCCTAATTTAATTTTTTGGGATGGGCTTTGTTTATCTTTTAAATATTTAAAAGTTTCTTTTTCTATAGTTAAAATCCATTGTTCTAAAATTGAATCTGAATCCGATGAAATATAATAAATATCATTATCATTAGTTTGCTGGTTATTATTATTATTATTGTCTATATTATTGGTATTATTAAAATTATTTATATTATTGCTAATATCAGAATGATGAATTTTATGACTAAAGCTTTTTCCTTTTGAAAGGAATAAATATTTGGATTGATTGTTTTGGTCAGAGTTATTTTCATTAATTTCGATGCATGTTCTATCTTGTTTTGTGATGGTTTTAGTAATACAATGGCAGAGCTGAATGACACCTCTTGCCTCCATGTATGGTTGTTCTCTATTTTTGAAAAAGAATAGATTTGAGTTTACAGCAACAAAGTAGACCTTAACCCATTGTTTTTTAGTACCAAGGTATTTTCCAGGCCTCAATAAATAAAGGTAACCTTCTTTTGATGGGTTAATAATGGTACGGAGTGATGGGGAGAAATTTGGGTCTAAAAATACCTTAAGATTTCTAGAGAGTTTGGCAGGTTGTGATAGTGTTATAGATGTGAGAAATTTTTGTAACTGTTCTTTACGATTCTTTATAAAGTTTGGATTCATATTTCCGATTAATTTCTTTGATGGAAATTCGAATGATGCTAATGAGGGAACTTCATTTTGTATTTGTATTGAAAATACTCTAAAGTGTTTATAACGTCTTACAATTTCCCATTGGTTATTATCTGATCGTACTTTAATAACATAAACTGTATAGGATTTCTGTTTTTCATAAACAGTTTCAGTTGATGATATGGTTAAATTTAATTGACTATTTTTTGAAATTGGTACCAAAACTGAACTGCTATAATATGATGGATCTACAAAGCCTTTTGATTTAAATGCACCACCTCTTGAAAATGTTCCAGTGAATGTCGTTACACTTCCATTGGTCCAACCGTTGTTTGCTTCATTTTGTTGTTGCTGTTCTGCTGGTGGATGGTATATGGTTTGTTTATCACTATCCATTATATAGTTAATATATTGTAAGTACAATATATATTATTATTTAGAATATAAATATTTAAATTATTATTGTACTAAAAAAAAAAATTATCGATAATAATTATTTGTATTATAAAAAAAAAAAAAACTTAAAAATGAAAAAAAAAAAAAAAAAATATCTGAGAAATTTTTTTATTTTTTTTTATTTTATTTTTTTTAAATTTTTTAAAATTTTTATAAATTAATTTAATTTTTTATTTTATTACAAATATGAACCAAAAAAGCAGTTTAAATTTGATTACAAGTTTTATAAGGGGTAAATTATATGTTTTTATTTGAATTAAAAAAAAAAAGGAAAATAATTTATTAAAAATTTTTAATTTTAATTTAATTTTACTTATTTTATTTATTTATTTATTTATTTATTTATTTATTTATTTATTTATTTATTTAATTACTCAGCACCAAATAAAAATAATTTAAATATCATAAATGGGTTAAAAATGAAGGGTGTCTTTTTGGATAGGTATGGGGAATCATTGGACAATTTATCATATAAAACAGATATACCAGTTTATAATCCACAAAAATCTCAAGTTTTAATCAAAGTTAAATCCACATCTATCAATCCATTAGATAATGTTATGAGGTAAGTTTGCATTTTTATTAATAAAAAACAAAACTATGAAATAACATTTTTTTATTTTTAAAGAAAAGGGTATGCACAGAGTATTGTGGATTTAAAACTAAAATTACCATATATATTGGGTAGAGAGTGCAGTGGAGAAATTGTTAGAATGGGTGACGATGTTTGGGATTTTGAAGTTGGGGATCAAGTTTGGTCAGCAACAGCACCATTTTCAAATGGGTCACATTGTGAATATGTTTTAGTTAATGAAAGCGAGATATCCAAGAAACCAAAGAATTTATCATATCAAGAGGCAGCATCAATACCTTTTACATCACTAACAGCGTGGAATGCAATTTTTAATGTATCAGCCACAGTAACACCTGAAAAAAGAGTTTTAGTCAATGGTGGAAATGGAGGTGTTGGTTTTTTTATTATTAATTTATTAAAAAAACATTTAGGTGTCCATCATGTTACAGCCACTTGCAGACCACAGCATTTTGAAAAGTTAAAACTAATAGCAGGAGCAGATCAAACTATTGATTATAACGAAGCATCACTTTTAGGTAAAACCGATACCCAATTGTACGATATTGTGTTTAATTGTGTTGATGGTGGCGAAGCAATGGAGTTTAAATGTGTGGAGGTTTTAAAAAATGGTGGTAATCTTATTGGATTTAATGGGCCAATGGTCAGATACAGCGATAAAGATGGTATACTACAAGGACTTACAATGGGTGTTATGGAATCAAATAAAGTATCGGAAAAAATAAAGCAAAAGTTCAACAAATCAATCAAAGTGGACTACACTCTCTTCACACCATCTGGTGAAACATTAAAAGAAATTTCAAAGCTTTACGAAAATAAAATATTATTACCAAATATTGATAAACAATTTCATTTATCTGATATTAAATCTGCATATCAATGTTTCGAATCCTCAAGTTCAAATGGAAAAGTTATAATTAATATTTAAATTTAATAAAATAAATAAATATTATAATATAAAATTAAAATAAAAAAAAGTAATTTTAAAACTATTATTTATCTATAATAATAAAAAATTAAAATTAAAAAAAAATAAATATAAATAAAATGAAAAAGACATTTAATAGTAAAGAAATTGTTAAATCACTTTTTATTATAATTGTTTTAAATTTATATTATAATTAATTAATTTGGTTTATAGAAATATTGATTGATTCTAATTGTGCCTAGATCTTTTTTACCAGTATTAATGGAGGGCGAGGTTTTCCATAATCCTTGATTGCTCCAATAGTTGATTTAAATCTATAAATTGTTGCTGTAGTTGTTTTGATTATGGTGAATGAACATTAAAGTTTAGTGGACTTCCAGAAGTGGTGATTTTTGATATTCCCTAATTTGGTCAATAATTACGAAAGCTTCAGTGTTTTTACCTTCTCTTCCTAAAATTATTTTATTTCTATCATAATTGCTTGGCCAGAGCGAATTAATGATATTCATAAAATAGTTGATTAGGTTGATTGGCGTCATTAGTGTTGACTTGATATAAATATTTGATGACAGGCTTTGAATTGCGACCACATATACTAAAAATACAACAGATATTGCACAACTTGACACAGTAGGTCCCAAATTATTTGATGAGTTCGGAATATATACCACTTGATACCATTTTATCAAAAACAGAGCTTGATGAAACATGATTCTACACTATTGGATACAATAGACTCTACAGCTTGATGAGGCAGATTCGTTACTTCTACCTTTGATAAACAAATAATTCACTATCTGGTGTAAGATTCTTAAGCACTACTTGATACAATGGGTTTCACACTTGATGCAACTGATTCTAAGATACTGTACCAATATATCATACACTTCTCGAATCAGGCTCTGTTTTATTACCACTTATTGAAATAGGTTACCATACTTGATTTACACTAAATATAATAAAATTTAATTTGTGTTAGTGTTGTGTTCATCTACGAATCCCATTTTTATATAGATTTTTTGTTTTAAAATAATGTGCTTATTTACTTACTTGAAGGCTTTTTAAATCTATTATTATTGACCTAGGATCATTTTTTTGAAATATTTATGCATTTATTGTGTGATGCAAAAAATAAAATGAAGAAATATAAATTTTTTTTTATTTAAAAAAAAAAATATTAAAAAAATCAAAAAAATAAAATTTTTTTAAAATTAAAAAAAAAAGCTAGCTTGCAAGATTATTGGCTAAATAAATCGACTATACTGCAGTGATTATATATTACAACCTTGATAATAATTAAATAAAATAAAAAATAAAATAAAAAGATTATTAATATAAATAAATAAAAATATTAATAAATATAACATACCTAAGTTATTGAGCTACACTTTAAATATTACTTGGACCACCATTTGACCAATTACTTTTACTATTTGAACTACTACTTAAAATATTATTTGACCCACCAATTGAACCACCAATTGAACTGCTATTTGACTACCAACTGACTGATTGTTTTAACCAATCTTAGAATTAAGATGAAAGATACCACATGGACCACTACTTGACCGGTTACTTTAAACCAAATTTTGAATTACGATGTGAAAAACCACTTGAACCACCATTTGAATTACGATGAAAATTACCACTAGAACCACACTTGACCGGTTATTTGAACCAACATTTGAATTGTGATGTGAACTACCACTTGAACCACCACTTAACCGATTACTTGAACCATTTGAACCACCGTTTGAACCACACTTGATCGATTAGTGGAACCACCATTGGGACCTTAAATTAAATTTGCTATAGGCTATTTGATACGTTTGGGCGATTGTTTTTCAGATGCTGCTTATATTTTTTCCAAATGACTAATGATGGTTATTAATATATGTTTAAAATTAATTTTTAAAAATAATATTATATTACATACCATTTTCTGTCTATAAATTATTGATTAGGTGTACTAATACCGAAATTTATAAGACCAATGTCAAAACATGCTGTGAAGAGAGCGAAATCTATTGTATTAAAAAAATAAATTAATAATTTATAAAAAAATTATAAAAAATAAAAAAAAAAGAAAATATAATTATTTACCTTTAATGTTTTTATAATGTACCTCGAATTACTTTATATATTGGACCATAATTTTTTAATTATAAAACTTGGCGTAAGGAACCATAGTGTTGTTCTGCATGGTGAGACAAAATAATAGCTCTAGAGTTTTCAATTGAACGTGGAGTTATTTCAATGAAAAAGCTGCTGTTAGATTCAACTGATGAGATAACAGTAATTTGAGATTTGAAAATCTCAGCAGCGGCGAGTAATGTTAAGTGGTCTCCCCATGTACCCCTTCTTGCCATTTGGTTGCAGTACTTATACCAGCTGGTGGCATTGGCAAATTCGTATATTTTGGCACCATTTGAAAGGGTTAAATTTTTGTTTTTCATGAGCCATGTAACAATAGCTCTTCTAATTTCCATACTATGGTTTAAATCGCCATATATTTGGTCAGATAAGGCATGCATCTGACAATTGCCATCACCTGGGATGACTGTACGGTTCTCTAAACCGTAGAGCTCCAAACGTTCATTTAAACGTTTTATAGCTTTATCTTCTGGTGGTGGTTGAGGAGTATTGACTGTCCCTGAGTCAATATCCATAGATCCATAAAATTGATTTTTATGATCAATAATATGTGAGTTTGTGTTTGATTGTGGTTGTGATTGTGGTTCCTCTTGTTGTAGCTTTTCATATGCATCCATAGCTCTAAATAATTTTTTATAATCAGGTATTGATGCAGTATGTTTTGGTTGTGGTTGTGGTGATTGTTGTTGTTGGAGTAGGACTGGGATTGGTTGTGGTTGTTGGACTGGGATTGGTTGTGGTTGTTGGACTGGGATTGGGAGTGGTTGTGGTTTCTGGAGTGGTTGTGGTTGCTGGAGTGGGAGTGGTTGCTGGAGTGGGAGTGGTTGTGATTGTTGGTTTTGTTGTGGTTGTGGTTCTGGTGTATTTTGTTGTGGTGGGTTATTTTTTTTATGGAATTCCTTATAAAATTCGTCGTCGTAGAAAAAGTCCTCGACGTTTTCGGTTCCATCTGGGTAGTAGCATTTGGTGGTGTTATTTCTGATTTTTCTAAAAAACCAATAAAAAATGAACAAAACAATGAAACAAATTACAATAGTATACATTTTTTATTAATTTACAAAATGAAAATACTATTTAAAAATCTAAATAAAAATAAATAACTGTTATTATATTTTTAAGGATGTGGATATATAAAAAATAATTTATTTAAAAAAAAATTTTTTTTTTTTTTTTTTTTAATATAATATACAAATAAAATATATAAATAATTATTAACAAAATAACAAAAAATAACAAATAATATAATAAAATAATTTACAAAGAATATATTTTTTTTTTTTTTTAAATATAATATACAAATAAAATATAATTACTTACAAATAAAAAATAATGTAATAAAATAATGATTATGCTATGAGTGAAGTTGAATATAAAAAAATAGTGTGTGTGTGTGGTTATTAAAGCTATTATTTTTAATAAAAAAAAATAAAAAAAATTTTTAAATATAATTTAAAAAAATATAAAAAATTAAAAAAATATAATAAATTAAAAAAACAATATATTAAATAAAAAAAAATTATAAATTACGAACTTAATTTTTATACAGATTACCATATAATCAACTAAAATAATAAAACTTTTATCTTTATAAATAAATAATTTCAAATTTTAAAGAAAAAACCGTTTCCCAATTAAAGGCAGTGATATCTGGTTTTACAATATTCAGATAAAAACTCATCAACACTTTTTAACAAAAAGAGTATTCAGATGCATTTAATTTTTTTATTATTGATATAATCACATAATATATAAAATAAATAATAAATATAATAATTAATAATTATATAATAAAACAAGTATAATATTTATTTAAATATGGATAATTTAGAAAGATTAAGATTTTTAAATGGCCTATAAAATAGATTAAGCAGATTTCAATCGCCAAATCCAGATAAACAACTACATTCAATTATTATTATTATTATTATTATTATTATTATTATTATTATTATTATTATTGTAATTATTTAATGTTATATAGTTCTGGAAGTAAAGATAAATCATCTTTTGCAAATTTACAATAAACTGTATACTGTATATATAATATATTCACTGTTTTATTTCCGTTTCTCTAATTTAAGTTTTATTTAAATTGAAGAAAAAAAAAATATTAAAAATGAATAATAATAATAAAAAATTAAAATTAATAGTTTTTATTTATTATGAAAATAATTTAACTTTCCAATAAGAATTGTTTGCAGGCGTTTTCCTGGATTTAACAGCTTCAGAGGCTCTTTTAGATTCTTCAGGAGTGAATTGCATGACTGTTGATAGTACTGGTAAAAGGCCATCGGTGTCATCAGTTTCAATATATTTTAATAAAATGTTTTTAAGATACTGTGGTTGAAGGTTTTGTAAATTAACATTTCTTTCTAGTGATCTAATTTCTTCTTTTAATAATTTTTCTTGTTCAAAGTGTCTTTGTTCCATTATTTCATTCTCTTTGACTTGTTGTCTTAAATGGTTAAGTTCAATTTGATATTTTCTTAATTCTTCATCTCTGTTAGCTTGTTGATTTGCATAGTTATGTAAAATATTTTCAACTTCTGATGGTGATTTGTAGCTATTATTATTATTATTATAGTTGTTATCGGAATAGTTATTTAAAAAGTTATTATTATTATTATTATTATTATTTGATTTTATTGGTGATTGAGCATTTAAACTATTATAAATTGATTTATTATTATTACTGAAATCTATTAAATGTTCTAAATTGAATTTTTCTTGTTCGCTTGGTGATAATGATGAAGATGTAGTGGTTGTAGTGGTTGTAGTGGTGGTAAAGGTATTGTTATTATTTGATGGTGAGGTTGTGTTACTATTTGATAGTGAGTATGGTGAAGATTTATTGTAATCGTCATTTGCAGGGTGTGGAGTGGCTGTATTTTCTTTTCTTGATTTTGAAAGTGAGTCGATCTCTTCATTTAATGATTCAATATATTTCTTTTGATCTTGTAATTGCTTGTCTTTTTCTCTCATAATTGAATTATTATTTCTTTTGAATAAGTTTAATTGTGATTGAAGTTCAATGAATTTCTCTTCTCTTTGATTTAATTCAGCTTCATGATCTTTCTTTAGTTGTTCAATGGTATCTTCTGATATACTACTATTGCTATCAGTGTTTTTAGCAGTTAATTCTTGGTTAATTTGTTTTTGATTATTTAATTCTTCTTTTAATGATTCTAAATTTTGATTAAAGTTTGAAATCTTTGAATTTAATATATTGATATTATCCTTTGATTCTTCCAAATTATCAAAAAGATTTGAAATTTCTTTTTTATATTTTGATTCTTGTTCATAGAGTTTGCTAATTTGATTATTTAATTCTTGCTTTTCGGTATCATAAGATTTCTTTAAATTTTCAATAATATCCTCATAGTTATCTTTCATATCGTTGACAATATAGTTATTTAAATAGTTTGATTCAATAGCTTCAACGGTTTCGGTAGTAGTTGTAGCGGTTGGTTGTTTATCTTGATTTTCTTCAGATTCTTGTTCGTTTGATTGTTGATATATTTCTTGTTCAATTTCATCTTCTTTAATTTCATCAAGA